AATAAGACTTAAAGCTAATTCTCTTATTTCATGACATTCATCATGTAAAGAAAAAAATAATAATTCTAATGCTTCTGATTTAGCTAAGAATTGTTTAAAATCATCTTGTAATGTTAAAAAAACATTATAACGTACATCAGGATCTAAATCAGTAACACCAATTGTTAATATTCTTTGTGTAATAACACCAATTTTAATTCGTAATTTATTAGCTGCTATTAATGATGTAGTTGTATTTGTTGATAGACTTGCTTGTGATGGTGGTAATAATAATTTTCTTAATAAATGTGTTATTGTTATAATTGATTCAATTCTAATACGTACACTATCATGTTCAATAAAACGTTGATTTAGTATATCAATAAAAGATGGTTCAATAGCTTGTGCTTCAAAATGAAATATTCTTAATGTTTGTAAAGCAATAAGTATTATATCACTTTGTCCATTTGTTAAATTTGGATTATATGCTAATGGATTCGATAGAATTGATCGAAGATTTTCTAATAAACCTTGATGAATTTTACGTTTCGTATCTGTATGTATTAATGGCATTGAACATAATTTATCAAGACAAAATAATAATGAATGATTTAAACCACAATGTAATAAATATTCTAATAAATTATCTAAACATTTTGATGCATCTGGTCCAGCTTCACCAATCATTGTTATACATGCAAATACACTTGAATCAGGTGATGAATATCGACATGGTAATAAATTATTTATTGATGATTGTTGTTGTTGTTGAGATGATGATGATGATTGATTTGAATTTTGTCGACGATGAGCATGTCCAGATGTTATTGAAGTATTTGTTGATGATATTGGAATAAATGTTTGTTTTAAACATTCAAATATTTTCGTCATATCTTTCGTTAATGGTGTTGTTGTTATTAATGAATCTGTATCATTTATTCGATTTGTTTTATCCGATAATATCATTAAACCTAATGCATGAAATGCTAATTGACGTTCTTTTAATTCATGAGAATTTATACGTTCATATATAAATGTCATTGTAGCATCGACATAGGGTTGATGAGAAAACCATCGATAATCTAATGATGCTAAACGTGGTAATATACGGATTAAAACATTAGGTATCATAGATTTTGGTTGTTGACGATATTGAAATACTTGATTAGAAATATTAACAAAATTATCAAGCATAATTGAACGAATTAAAGATGATTGTACTTGAATTTGAGATTGTTCAGGATTATCAATAATATCCATTGGAGATAATGGACCAGTACGTTCGAATGTTAAAGCAACACGAGAACGATGAACATCCTAAAAATATAAAAAAATTATGCAAGATTTCAAATATAATCATATTTTACTTTATATGAAATTGGTTTTGGTTTTGGTGCACTATATGGTTGAATTAAATCTTGACAGATACTCTAGAAAATTATTATTATTAATAAATATAAATATTTTTAAAAATCTATCTTACTTCAAATTTAACATCTGATACACGTAATAATTCATTAAGTAAAAGAAGTCCACCATGAATTCGATCTTCTCTTTGTGTATTTTTATTTTTTGTTGTTGTCTCAACTTGTAAACATTTCATTGCTTCATTATAAGCCATCTAAAGAAATTTAATTTCAAGAACAAACAAAAAAAATGAAATTTTAAACGAACATTATATGCTTTTAAAAATGTATTTGATTCTGTATTTATTGCATAACTTGTATTACTACTTGTTAAATCTTGTCCAGTTGTTATATCACTATTATTATTTTTTTGTTCTTCACGTTCACGATCAATAAGAACAACTAATGTTGCTTGCATTGTTTCAGCAAATGCTTCACGAATATATTGCTAAACAAAAAAAAAAAAGTAAAAGAATATATTTTTTTTTTAATTCTATTACTTTTGGATCTGTCATTGTACCAAAAAGTTGTTCAAAAAATTGTTCAACTGGTGTTATTAAATGATAATAACGTGATGGAGCAGCTATAGCTATTTCTTTTAATATTGTTATACCACTATAACGTCTTGTTTCATGTTGTTCTTCTCGCGAGATACGTTCAAGTGCTTTAGGAACATCTAGTGAAAATTGATCGATACTCATTCGACCACAACCCTATTAGAAAAAAATTATTTTTTTGATTAAGACCAATATTAATATTAAATTACTTTAACGAGTATACATGTTAATTTGACAACTAATTCACATAGATTAGCATCAACTGACATTTGTTTATAACCACGTAATATTGGTTCTAATTTATTACTTAATTCAGTATAAAAATTTTGTCCAGCACAAACAAAACATACTAAATATATATATATCGTATAAAAATAAGGTTCAAAAAAAAGATTTCATTGAAACATACGAATAACAAGAAGAGCGGCGCGATTTTCATTGACATCATTTGGATTAGCCATTTTGTTTCTTATAAATTCTTGTACCTGTTCAGCAATGACTGTAACAACATCAGATGGAGCCTAGCCAAACAATCAAATAGATAGATAGAAAATGATAAATCTCACTCACATCTGCATATTGTGAAATAATACGTTCGTAAAGTTCATCTGTTGCTCGACGACGTATATCTTCATTTGGACTCTGTAAATCCGCGGCAAACTGCTCCAATAGAGCAGGAAACCGGGTGTCTGTTACAGACATTTTATCTGAAGAAATAAACTACATTATTTTTTGTTTCTATAAACAATATATTTCTATATATTGTTTAATTTTGTTATTTTTTTTAAAGTTTTTTTTTTTCTATGCAATCAAAAACACACATCAAACGAAGTTATAACAAAACATGAAATGAAAACAGAATAACAAACAAATGAAAATTATGCTTGAATGAACAAATATGTATTTGAATAGCCTAAAGGAAATTTTCTATTTATGATGTTTGACGAGTTGATCGTTCCCATGGATTTTGTTCTTGTGTTTGATTATCATCATTTACTCGACGATTTTGTTTTGGTTGTGCTGAACTCATATCATCTTCTGTATTTCGTTTTGAACGTTGAGAATTTGATGAATTTGGACTTGCATTACGACGTGTTGATGAAAAGTCATTATCATTACGATTTAAACGTGAAAATGATTGATTTTGTTGTTGCTGTTGTTGTTGTTGGTTACGATCTCCTTGACGAGAAAAGTCATTATATGATGAATTTCGATTACGTGGTGAATATTGATCATTGTCAAAATTTCGTTGATAACCATCTGCATAAGAGTTTTGTGAACTAAAATTAGATTATCGTCATTGATATTTATGTATCGTTAATATGCATACCGTCGATCATAACCAGAATCTCGTCTTTGAAAATTATTATTTTCAAATCGATTATTTCTATTATATCCATTAGATTG